ATGCATGAGTATCATCCAAGCGGCCATAGCAATAGATGCTAGGAAGGTGAAAGACTTCTCCATCAGAATACTGACCGACAGTATGGCGGTACTACAAGCTCTGAGTTGCAATGTGACGAACTCGGGACTGATATACGAGTGCCATCAACGATTGAATGAGGTATGTAAGCACAACAATGTGACTCTGCAATGGATCAAGGGACACAGTGGATCTAGAGGCAACGATGCAGCAGATGAACTGGCCAGAAGGGGATCGGCCCTAGCAACTATGACTCTGCAATGGATAAGGGGTGGTCTGAGGATGCGCGTGACTGCAGAAGGGGTGGCCCTAGCAACTATAGGGCCGGAACCAATAATACCAATCCCCTTTGGCTATGTTCGTTCACTGGTACGTAGATACTTCAATAATTTACACGCTCAGCTTTGGAAGTAGACTGTAGACAAGCTAGGGAGGCCCTACCTGAAATAAACAGTCGTCTAACCAAGGTTCTAATGAGACTGAACAAGCCACAGATCAGGATAGTAACAAGTGCTATCACAGGACATGGCTCTTTTAACAAACATTTGTTCACCATAGGTGTTACTGACAGCCCCCTGTGCAGGGCATGCATGGGAGAGGAAGAAACGGCGGCTCACGTGTTGCTGACATGTCCAGAAGTCGCTTCATACAGGGCTAAACATGTCGGCACGCCGGGATCGCTCCCCGAAGTTGCTTGCAACATCAAGGGACTGCTGAGCTTCTTCGGGGAGATATCATGGCTCGAATAAGCATATTAGTTTAGTTTAGTTTAGTTTGCGACGGGCTGTTTTCCGCAACTCCACGTCTATGCGCGTATTTTGCGTGTGGGCAGGAATAATGTGATTATTCGAGCCATGAGATGAAAGACCGTGTTATAGGTACCCAGCGGTGTGCATATGTGAATATTGAGGTCTTCAGAGAAAGCTCCAGAACCTACACCTTCATTTGTTTTAGAACCATCGGTGAAAACTCTAAGCTCTTTTGGGCTTAATCCTTCCGGCTAGCTGTTTTCATTTAAATGTATCTTGTATTTCTTATCGAAAACAAATTGTTTAGGAATCCTATCGTATTTGGCTTGTAGGATAGGAATTTCTGAGTGAATTCTATCAATTATGCCTGTATGAGGGACACTATTCTTACTCCAAAGATTTAGGGTCTTGAGTCTGATGGCAGCTAAAGTCGCTTCTTGTTGTATATGTAGATGAAGCGGAGTTAGCTCCAGCATTGCTTCCAAGGCTGCTGTTGGCGTAGTTCTTATGCAGCCTGTGGCAACCATACATGCCAGTCTCTGGTAGCGCTGAAGCTTCTTAATTGTGGTGGCTTCATTTGTCTTGGTCCACCATACCACAGCGCCGTATGTGATCATGGGCCGAATTACAGTTTTGTAAAGCCACAGTATGATTTTTGGCGTCAGTCCCCATCTTTTGCCAATCATGTTTCTGCATTGCCAGAAAGTTATACTAGCTTTGTTGATTTTGTTTTCTATGTGTTTATTCCAGTTAAGTTTGCTGTCCAAGGTAAGACCTAAATATTTTACCTCAGAGGATAGCTGGAGTTTTGTGTTGAAAAGACTTGGAAGATGATAGTTATCCAGCATTCGTTTTTGTGTGAACATTACTAAAACCGTTTTATTTGGATTGACGGTTAAGTCGTATTCCCTGCACCATCTCTCCACTATACGGAGAGCCGCTTGGGTCAGGTCGCACACTATGCTTGCTGTCTTTCCCGAGACCAGTATTGTCAGGTCATCAGCATAACCTACTGTATAGAAGTGATTAGTATTTAATTTGCTGATGAGTTCATTAATGACCATATTCCACAGGAGAGGTGAGAGAACCCTACCCTGCGGGCAGCCTTTCTTAATTTGGATTGGTTGAGATTCACCAGCAATCTTTATTATTCGTGTACTGAGCATGCAAACTATCCAGTCGATCAGTGCCGGTTCAAATGTATATCTACTGAGTGCACCTTTTATGCTGGAGAAGTTCGTTCTGTCAAAAGCACCTTCTATATCTAAGAAGGAACCTAGACATATTTCTTTGTTTTGGATGGCCTCTTCAATCTTTGTAATTACCTGATGAAGTGCCGATTCTGTTGATTTGCCTAGACTGTAGGCTTGTTGCTTGTCGTGTAGTGGTAAGTTCATTAGCGCCAACCCCCTTAATTCCCTTTCACACATCCTCTCCATCGTCTTTAGGAGAAAGGATGTGAGGCTAATGGGCCTGTAGGATTTAGGGTCAGTGTAATCGCTCTTACCTGGTTTGGGTATAAATGTGACTTTCATTTCCCTCCATCCCCTAGGAACATATTTAAGAGCCAGACAGGCTCTCATTATGGCAACAAGTCTGACTATTAGGGTTTATCCCCCCACTGTAGGAGTGCCGGGAATATGCCGTCAGGTCCTGCCGCCTTATAGGGGAGGAAACTGTGAATGGCCCAATGGATTTTGTCCATCGTTACCACTCTCTGTGCTAAATTCCAGTCTTCTACTGTTGGTGTCGGTATGTCGTCATGCCGGTTTGCCTCCTGGGTTACACAGCAACCTGGGAAGTGCGTTTCAATTAGGATGCGTTGGGCTTCATCCGGCGATGTTGAGTAACTACCGTCGGGTTTCTTTAGAGACATGGATCCCGACGTGTTCTGTTTAGCTAGAATATTCCTTATCCTATTTGCTTGTTCGCAGATTTCTATGTTGCCACAGAATTTACGCCACCCAGTCGAGCGTCGATACCTGATACATTTTTTGTATTCAGACTTAGCTTTCTTATATAGTAGCCAGTCTTCATCCATTGAGGTATTCATGGCCCTATTTAGGGCTTTTCTTACCTTCTTACGTTTCCTATTGAGTTCTTCACCCCACCACTGTTGCTTTACCTCGGCATGCCTTGGTGGAGTGATTTCTGGACATGATTCATGGTAGCTATCTATCATGGCCTTAGTAACAGCTGTTACCTGTTCTTCTAGGAGCAACTGATCTGCTATAGTATTTATCCCCTCAAAACCCGCGAGCTAAGACGTCAGCCTATTTAGGTATTTTGTTTTATCCGTCTTGCGGGGATTTCTCCATGGTGGTGTAGAGGGGATATCGACCTGTAGTACGAAGCAGATCCATCTATGGTCTGAGCATGAGGCCTCTTTCGACACATGCCATCCCGTAATTAGTTTGGCTGCTCCTTCTGTTGCAAGTGTGAGGTCGATTATTAGTACGACAGCGTTTGTTTATGAAAGTAGGTTCAGAACCTATGTTGAAAATGGTTAGATTAGTACTAAATAAATATTCAACTAAAACCTTACCTCATTCATTTGGTTTTTCCATTCCCCAAAGGGGATGATGTGCATTGGAGTCCGTCCCGATCACAACCTCTAGTCCGGTCCTCTCGCAGAAGTTCACCAGCCTGCTGAGGTCATGAGGGGGAGGAGTGTCTTCCTCCGGCATGTAGACCAAGGCGACGACTAATCTTCTCTCCTGTGTGTATTGTATTGCCACGGCATACATGTCTCTAGAACAGAAATCTGTTAATGGTTGTGCACAGATATCTTTAGTAGTGTAAATACACGCTCTAGGCTTGTCGTGTTCAGAGCTGTAGAATAGCTTACCTTTTAGGTTGTTTAGGCCTTTCATTTTACCAGCCCCAACCCACGGCTCCTGGATTAAGGCTATGGCAGTCCGTTGAACCTCCAACCACTTGCGTAATTGAGCCGACGCAGTTTCGCTGTGGTGGAGGTTGGCCTGCACTAGGCTAGTTTTGGACGAAGGGCACGCCATCATTGATCGCGTCCTCCCGGTCCCCGCCCAAAAATAGGCCTGCCAGAAGATCTCGGGTCTCATCGTCAGCCACTGAGTCGGAAGTGGTCGGCAAAATGCAGTCCTCTTCGTCACTCAGTGAGCTGCCGCTGAGATCGATCTCCACTGGGGGGCTTTGGCTCAGTTGTGCAGGCCGTTTTTTCACTGGACTTGGCCTCCAGTGATTCCGCTGTACCGGTAACCGTGGCTCCGGTATCCATAACTTCCGGGTTGTTTTCTACCTCTTTGCTCGGTGGAGTGTCAAAGAATTTACCTCCACGACCCTGGAATTTTACGTATACCGCCCCGCATACACATGCGAGACGGCGTCCAGCCTTCATCAGGGTCGGGATATGATCCTCCGGCACCGAAACAACGAGGAACCACCCGTCCGTCTGCTTATCAGCCTTGAGTAACAGCCAGTCCCTGATGTTAACCCAGCGGTTCTGGTACGACCAGCACGCGACCAATGTCACGTGAGTCTTTCCAGGCTCCTTGGGCATCAGGGATAAGGATACCACATTTGACTCTTTGTGATATCTCTGACTGTTTCTTTATTGTCACCAAGGTGTTGGATTTAAGATCGAGGGTAGCAATATTCCCCTTCAACCAGTCCAGAGTCTTCTGATCGTCGCACCACAGTTTCAGGACACCCTCCGTATAAACGGGTTTGACCCTAAAAACTGGGCCCGACGCATCAGGGTCCTGGCTACTCCAGGCCTCGCTGATCATCTTCCTCTGTATTGCTACGAGGATGTCGTCTGCTACTTCCTTCGTAATGTGACCTGAACGCGCACATGTTAAGGCCACACCCAAATCTGCTCTAGCAGCGGAAGCGTAGCTCGTTCTTGCAGCCTTTGGTTGCTGTTCGAGTTGCACTTTTTTGTGTTCCCCTCTAGGCGAGGTGGACTCTTCCAGCATCCTTTTGGCTGCTCTTTCCTTCTTCCCAGGACGCTTGGCCGCTCGCTGCTTCCTGGCGGATATCCTAGAGCTGGTTCCCGCGGCCGCGACTTCCACTTGGGCTGAATTTTTATCCTTCCCAGCTTCTAAGCATATTATTCCTGCCCACACGCAAAATACGCGCTTAGACGTGGAGTTGCGGAAAACAGCCCGTCGTAAACTAAACTAAAATACAACTCTGTGTACTAAATTATTTATTCACTGTAAAAATTTATTGCCACTCTTACAATACCCTTCCTATTCATAAGCTTCCCTTGTTTCGCTTTTAGGTATAATTTTCAAAAAATACATAAATTTATTAATGTGAATAATTGGTGGACCCAAATTTGTAAGACCACCAACAATAATTAATATATCATCAAAATAAGGCGCCAGTGACCATGGTAATGGTCCAAATAGATGTTTATATTGTCGTAATCTCTGTATCACTCTCTCAACATGCACTCTTGCCCGTGCAATCTCTGCAGTGCGGATTGCATCTTCTTTGGTCATCTGCTTTTTCTGACTCAAGAAAGGAGGCCTGACAAGCTGAAGCAGACGCTATAACAAGAACATTAATATGTAAATACATTGCATAATTAATCAAATGTTATTTGTACTAACTATTCAATTAAGGGGAAATATAATCCCAAATGGCTTAGCAAGATCCTTCGTTATGCCGAAAATATTGCAGCATTAATTCTGAAATAAATATATGGTAAAGTTGAGGATTAATATAAAGGATTATGTTAGACGAAAACACGATTTCGTAAAATTTTCTCGATAGAAAAAAAATCCAAAGTTACCTGTTACCGCTGTTATTCATAAAATACTTTAAATAAGATCATGAAACTTTGCATACTAACTGAACTAACTATAAAGCAGTGCTTATGTTATTTACTTTTTTTAAAATACCATTATTTTCACTGTAAAAAGAAATTACCTAAACTATCGGCCTCTTGAAGCGTGGTTCCCGCAGCACCGTCACTTCGCTCCGGCCTTTGAACGGGGAGGTGTGTCGCTTACGATCAGAATAAACATTATGCAACAGGACGACGTAAAATTAAAATGGGAAATAACCGTAATAAAAATAAGAAGCTACTGGCTTGGCGTTAAGAAACATGCATAAATATGATAAACCTAATGAAATAAGTGTCTAACTACCTTTCTACTTACAGTATTAGTGATTACAAACATGTCTGTACATAGCATACGACGTGCGGGCAAATGGAGACGAAATTAGAATTTGAGCTGACTTACTCTATCCTCTTAATATCCTTAACTAACTTCATGACATTCGGATTCAATCCTGTATCCTTTATCCACCATCACTCCATCATTAAACTCGCATTTATTTAAGATTCCTGATTCATTTACAATATGTTTATCTGATGCTCGACCACCATAAGATGCACTTATTTCAGTTATAAGGCCAGAAAGAGTTATTCCAATATTAAACTTCGCTGTATTGTTTTTTTTATATTGAGAGTATGTAATTCAATATTCTACATTTTAAACATTTACATTTTTCAATCACAGTTTCAGCACAGTCTAATATAATTCTTGTATTTTTATATTTTTGGAATGATTTAGGTAGGTTGCTACGTATCATTTCGATATCAGGCCAAGGAATAACAACTTTGAGTACTCTACTCAGCATGGAGCACATATTAGATTTTAAATTAGATTAGATTAGAGATTAAAATAATTAGAACATGTCTGCCTGTTTATACCAAACAAAACACCAATGGCTCTAAATGGCATATTTTGTTTAATTTTTACCATTGTCAAAATAACTCTGTCTCTTACAGATAACATTTTCTTATTTGTTGGAGCATCTAAGGCCAATTCACTAACACAAGTCACCAATGTTTCTAAAAGTTCTATTGAATGAATACCCGTAAAAGTAAATAAATACATATCACTACTGAGTAAATCTGAGAGGGTTAATTGCTTTAAAGTTGATCTATCCTCTTCCCACATAGGAAGAAAATTTATTTGAGTGCACTTTTCCAAAGGTTCTTTGTCACAAAGAATGTCAGCTATACTCCAATCTTCTCAGGGACGATAATTTCTGTAATCCTCTAAATTGACTTGTGTCGATGAAGTCATGACATGAAGATGACTGTTGTTATCAGTTATATTATTGTCCTCAAATCCATCTTCAAATTTAGTTTCAAATTTTTTTTTAGTTCAAATTTCATTCTCAATAGCAAGTCCAAGCTCTTTATTTGATTCCACTATTTTCCTGTGTCTAATATCAGCCCTATTTTCTCGAGCAATTGATTTTATTTTTTGGGCTAATGGTACTTCTTTATCAGAGCTTCTTTTAGTAATATTCTGAGACGGTACGACATAAGGAAACAACTTCTGCCTTTTAGAATCTGGAACAATAAATAATCTCGTTATCTGACGAGAAACTCGCCTTAGCGTAAACTAAATGAATAACATAGGAAATACATATAAATATAATTTATGTACAATAAAATAATTAAAACATAATTATACTTACTGTTTGGAAAAAAGTCTGAAGCTTGAAAATGATGAGAACAAATTCTCATTGATGGTGAAATTGGCTTGCCTATTCTTAAAGCAGTCTTCCATTTTTTCTTCATAATTTTGTCTTTTGGGAATAAATGAAAACTTATTCCCGTATCTCCGTAAGTACTACATTGAGGAACGCAACAATATTTCGTATTTCTGCTTTTATTAGCAACAAGTTTCCGTAAATAATCGTGATCCATCTGAATAATCTAAACATAACCTCAACAAATAAACAAACAAAGTGTCGTCCACAGACTACTAAAATGATAGTGTCGTCCTTAGACAGCTTCTAAATTTCACCACTAGAGGCGTGCGGATAATCTTTGCATCGCCTATACTCACAAACTAATAAGAGTACTAACGTACCTACACTATTGTCCCAAAAAATTACTAATGAAAAATATGTTAATACAGCCAGAATCAAATGCAAAGCCATTTAGAATATAATAAATAACAAAGACGAAGTAAATGACAAACATAATATTGACTACCTAAAAATAAATAACAAAATTATAAATAATCCTTCAGATATTGCAAACGCATTTAATAATCACTTTATTGAATCGACATATGTACCTGGTAACAATCAATGTAACTCAAATAAATTAAAGTTCATCGAAAGTACTACCGCATCTATGTTTTTAAGCCCCACCGACGAGAATGAAATAATCAAAATTATAAACACTCTGAACAACTTAAATTCCACAGGTCATGATGCGATATGTACTAAGGTAGTTAGGGCTAGTGCAAGTGAGTTCGTACCTTTGATGGCACACTTTGTGAATCGTTGCTTTGAAGAGGGTAAATTTCTGGGCACTCTTAAAATATCTATTGTCAAGCCACTTTTTAATTGCGGAGAGAGGCATAATTTAAACAACTACAGACCCATAGCACTTATCCCAGTTTTGTCAAAGATATTTGAAAAGATTATGTAGGTAAAATTTATTTCTTTTTTACAAAACACAGAATAATTAGGGAGGAACAATTTGGGTTTCGGAAGGAAAGGTCAACAGCACTGGCCTGTTACTTCCCTATTAAGAACATATCGATCCATATTATTTATTACATAGTATTTACAAAAAACTATTTACGTAAACAGCGTTAAAAAAACAACCATTCAATCACCTACAACACGCTAGCCCCAACGTGGGTGCCTCGCGATTGTAGGTAGGCAAGAGTGACAGAGGGCTGGTAACAGTTAGTAATGTAATGTGTATCTTCTTTCTTCAAGATTAAAACACAAGTTACATAAATACTGTCCTCTTAGCTCTCATTCATTATACAATAGTTTCTTTGAGTTTGATTACTCAGATAGATATCACAATTTTTTAGTTCCTTCTTTTTTCACAAAAGTAAATTACGATAAATAATTAGTCAAATACAGTCCACTTAGTTCTCCATCCACTACAATGCCTATCGATGATAATAATCTTTAATAGCAGTATTCCTTTTTAGGCTCACTTTAAGTACTAATTTCTAATTTTATAACTAGTTGTGGGGTAAATTTTTCCTCACAATTGTAACCTTAGACAGAGAAACCTATAGACAAATTGACGCCTTCTTTCGCATTCGCACACGAAAAAGATAGATTTATGCATACGTCTTGCATAGAAATGAGATAGAGTGGTGTGATTGTTTGTCCCTTTCAAAAAAGTGTTTTGTGAGCTTAAGATTGGTGAATCTTGTTCAGTTCAGTTCTTAGAACAATTAAAATTTTTATCTAAATGTGTCTAAAAGTCATAAAGATTATTATATAACCTAAAAATTCTATCGCTCTTTCTCACTCGAGGCCACGCTGATCATTAGTCTATAGGTTTCTCTGTCTATGCTTGCAACACTAAATATAGTGACGTATTTTTCTGTCTCTTTCTGCGAAACGCTTTGCCGGAGTAGACAGAGAAACCCATAGACAAATTGATGCCTTCTTTCGCATTCGCACACGAAAAAGATAGATTTATACATACGTCTTGCATGCATAGAAATGAGACAGTGCGGTGTGATTGTTTGTCCCTTTCTCCGTGCCGGTTTTTTCGTTTAGCAAACTACACTTTGCTAAACAACTTTGACTGTTCGTAGCGATCTAAGGAGTTTACAAGTTGGTTTAAGTGAGAAAGAAAGTGTTTCGTGAGCTTAAGATTGGTGAATCTTGTTCAGTTCAGTTCTTAGAACAATTAAAAATGTTATCTAAATATCTTTAAAAGTCATAAAGATTATTGTATAACCTAAAACTACGTTATCGTCATTTCTCACTCGAGGCCACGCTAATCATTAGCATATAGGTTTCTCTGTCTACATTTGCCGGTTTCTATAGGATTATCTGTCTACGGGATAGTTACTATTATTATTGATTAATACTCCAGTGTTTCCACCTTGGTGGTTTTGTCACTAGATCTGGTGATTTTTAAGAGCTTTTAGCGATATTTTTTATCGTTTAGCGACTATTTAGTTTTTAGTTATTTTTGGCGATTTTTCAGTTCAGAATTTGGCATTACTGATTTGAGACGGAAATGGTTCTCTTTCTAGATAGTCGAAGAATCCCAGACGCTGTAATACGGAGTGTAGAAGTAAGGAGTACAGACTGTGTATTAAAAAGTGTCCATAAAAACCTTTAAATAAGGATTTCGCCACTATAGCTACGGGGTAAATTTTAAAGAACGCACCGAAAAATATTAGTGGGATAGACGACTTTTTCGAGGTTATATTTACTAAATAAAAGCTACTGATCAGTTTAGCAGCACACGTAAACCGGCGACAACTGCTAAGTTCATTAATTTCATTCCAGTAGCTACTCCAGCGCTGTTGTGGACTGTTATTTACTGCTTACAGATGACCACTTTTTCAACTATTCTACTATGGGAGTTGGGACTCCTTACTTCTACACTCCATACGCTGTAGTTTTATAGTACAGTACATTAATGTTTTATCATTATTAAGTGTCGTAGCAGTCGGTTAAATTTTGTGGAAAATTGCACGTGTTCAGTAAAAGAACAGTAAAGAAATTAGTTAAAAAGTGTGTCCGTTGTATCGTACCATCGTTCATTGGTCCCGTTTTGGCGTTTCATACAAGTAGGATTTTCAAAAAACCAACGTGTCTGTTTTCTTAATTTTATTTTAGATTCTTATTTGGAAGTTTCTTTTAACATCACATATTTATCATATATGCCGATGGAATGATAAAACGTCCAAAAATTATTAACTTATTTTTTCAATGTATGAAAAAAAAATATTCAAACCTGATTTGCTCCAATATATGAAAAAAACCTTGTGAAGAGATTATACTTTTAATAACTTCTTTTGTATTTCATTCTTATGTAATACATTTATAGTACTTAAAAAACTTACTAAAAATAGCGAGATCTGGTGGTTTTTTTCAATCCAAATTTCCAAAATATGGCGACATTTTACTCTGAATCTATCTATTGACAAAATAATTTTTGAGCTGGCAACTCTGCTATACTCATTGTCTTTGGTTGGAATGGAGTTGTACTTGCTAATTGTGCCTGTTAATTTTTGTACGATCGATGGAAAATAATTAAGTGTTTTTTTATTGCAGTAAGTGTACATTTTAATTGCAGTAAGTGTACATTTTATTTGCAGTCGGATTTTTATTTTATAAGGTTCAGACATAGCAAAATAAGCAGTGTTGCGAATGTCCCAATTGTGCTCTTACTGTGTCGCCATTTTGTTAAAGGGTATTTCTACCTTATTTTAAGAGTTTTTGTTTGGATTTAAAATTTAAATATTTAAGATGTCCGATAATACTCCAAAAGAACCCCCAATACAAACTATGAACGGCTTGCCAACAAATAATAATCCATGGATGTACGGTTTATATCACCAGTACAATGGATATCATGGCGGCATGTATCCACCGTTTTACAATCAATATTATAATCCGATGGGTAATAACGGAGGATTTCACAACAATGATCGCAATCAATATCAACATAACGAGCCAAAGCCTAACTTTGGACACCCTAATTTCTCTAAACCACCCCCATCGACACCTCTTCTCGGGATGTCACCACTCGACACCAATCGCCCATTTTTTTGTCAACCGCCTATCAGATTTAATCTGAATGGTAATAAGAAGTCTGCTCCTATTCCTCCCACTGATAATCCGCTCCTTACAAACAACAATGTCAAGAAAAAGCGAAAGAAGGCAAATAAAATGAATGATGACATAGAGCCAATCGTATTACCACCCCTTCCTGATCATCCTCCCCCGTTACCTCCCTGTCCACCTCCAGATATCCCAAAACCACCTCCACCTCCTCCACTAGATGTTCCATTGCCTCCTCCAATAGCAACTGAAGATATTCCGGAGCCTTTAGAGAAACCAAATAATGAGGGTAATAAGGAAAAAGAATGTGAAAATGTTGAGTCTAATAGTGATTCTTCAACTTTCTTAAAATCCTCTTCAATATGTCCAACATCAGCTGGAGCTTGGCCTGAGAACTTAGAAAGGTATATTAAAAGATGCTATGAAAAATGTAGAACAGCTTTTGATCGTGATCAAATTGATATATGCTTAAAGGGACGTATTACAGCAGCAGCAAATAAAGATGAAATTTGGACAAGAAATTGGGATGAAGAACCCATTCCAAGTGTTTATAGTGAACGTAACAATTTAACAGTCAAACCCGTCAGAGGGACTCTATCCTTATATCAAAAACCTGAGTGTCTTACAGATAAGCCAAAGACTGGTTTGGGAAGTAGAGGTTTTAGTGGACACAAGAGTTCCCCACAAAGGCGGCGCCGCCTTCATTCGAGAAGTAGATCTAAATCAAGGAGTCCAAGAAAACGACAAAGGTAATAAAAGGATGTTAGTTATGTGACCATTTATTAGTTTGAATTATAGTATGCTATATTTTTTTTATTTTCCAGTTCACCATCAACTTCTAGTGATGAATTTGAAGAAAAGAAAGCTATAAAAAGCAAAACTAGGCAAAAGGTTAAGGATAGGCTGTCATTAGATCACAAGAAAACTGACAAATATAACAAAAATGCCAAAAAGAAAAATTACAACCAGTTTATTGTTGAAGATGATCATGGTAATGCAGAAAAACTACAAAAGAGAGTAGAGAGATTTGGAAACACAAGTGTACCCACTATTGCTAGCTCCATTCAAGTTAATAATCATAAATCAGAACCTCTTCTTAGAAAACCAATTATTACTACAGATACTGAAGGAGACTATGAGCTTAATAATATGCATATTGTGGGTACATGCTCAGATATTGAAAAGTCATTCTTAAGATTGACAAAGGCTCCTGAAGCATGTGAAGTACGACCTGTTACAGTATTAAGGAATTCACTCAAAAATGTGAAAGAAAAATGGATAGAGAAACAAGATTATCGATATGCCTGTGATCAGCTCAAATCAATCCGACAAGATTTGACAGTAAATTATATTTATTCATCCTTACAATTTATTTTTGTTTGTAAAGTGCTTTACATGCTATTTTTTCTTTTATAGGTGCAAGGTGTAAGAGACAGTTTCACAATTGAAGTGTATGAAACACATGCAAGGATAGCCTTAGAGAGAGGAGATCATGAGGAATTCAACCAATGCCAAACACAATTGAAAATGCTTTACACTGAGTTACCAGATTGTAGAGCTAATGCAGCTGAATTTACTGCATATAGGATACTATATTATATTTTTACTAAAAATACATTGGGTAAGTAATACTTATATGTTGTAGCTTTTTATTAATGGTTGTGTCAACTATCTAATTACTATTTTGGTGTAATCATCTAGAAATAACAGCAATTTAAGAAACACTTTACTTTTCAGATCTGACAACAATATTTCAGTTTCTTTCTAAAGAAGACAGGGAAAACGAATGCATAAAACACGCACTTCTAACAAGGTGTGCATGGGCTACAGGAAACCTTCATAAGTTTTTCTTGTTGTATAAGACTGCTCCATTGATGGCAGGCTACCTCATGGACTGGTTTGTGGAAAGAGAAAGAAAGCAGTACATGAAATACATCATAAAGTCGTATGTCATTTTTCTAATCATATTTTAATAATAATTTTTCACCTGATAGAAACACTTATGTGTTGTTAATTAAGTATTGGGTTCGAAGTTTCAACACATTTCAGAAATGTGTTGTGACATTTTTATTTAAATCATTGTAAAACATTTGAGACGTGTCTAAAACAATGCCATAGTTGCCACACATGGCAGGCAGTTTGGCAACCACAGCTTTATATTATTTTAACCCTTCAATCCCCATAAAATTCCCATGCAGTTGCATGAGTCTGTCAAGTCCTGAGCGGTCGCATGTGACCACACCCATGTGGGGTTTGAGAGGTTAAGTTGATATTAGGAGGAGGATAGTAGTGGATTTTGTTTACATTCCCACTACATGGCAAAAAAGATGGATCTTTTTATATTTATCAGAAGCTACAACATCTGCTCTGGCCTTTTATACTATATATTAAGCAAGAATGAGTTGACACAATCGGGGAAGGACTACACTCTCACAGAATACCAGTGTAAAATAGTAGGTTAATGCTCCTGTGTTTCGTATGGTGAGTGTAGAGAACCGGAGACCCTTTTTACTGGAAACAAGGCATCCCATCATGGTCCTAATGGGTGACAACACATCTGCATTTTGATTCATAATTGAGGATAGATGTAGATGTCTATGGGCCACAGCAACCACTTACCATCAGGTGGACTGTGTCCTCATTTGTCACCCTATCCTATAAAATAAAAAAAATATAAAAACATGGTAGAACTTTTGCCCATATTCCTGTGTCGATGTGAAGGGTATAGAGAACCAGTAAATTGTAGGCTGTGAGGTATTCCATTGTAGTGCTCAATGGTGACAATGCATCTGCCTTCTTGGTTTGAAGTTGCATGTGTGAATCAGGTGGACTGTAAGTTTGTTTATCACAAATAATTTGAGTAGTGCATCTGACTACTTAGTTGCTGCAGCTTGATCCAGTATAAATGCATAAATTATAATTGGCTTTCAATGGACGGGTTTGATGAATGAATTTTGTATATTATTTTACTGACTGATTTTCCAAAGATATTTCTCCATGTGATTCAAATGGACATAACCACCATAACTTTATAATTATGGTAGGGGTGTATATTTATTAATAGGTAAATGTAACATTGTTTTTAACCATAATGGGTATTGCTGCTTAAACTTAAAAAATGTTGGTAAGTATGGGTGATTTGTGAAAAATGTCCTTTTTTGATTTTCCAGGAACAATTTTACTCACCAGCTTTGCTGGTTGTGTTTTATTAACTTTTTTTTGTATGTTCAGCTACAGGCAGTCAGTTCCTGTGGACTTCATCGTTCGGGAGCTGGCGTTTGAGTCAAATTCTAAGGCCATAGAATTCTTAAATCAATTTTCTTTTTCATACACTGGCTCCGATCAAACTCAACTAGATTGCAAGGCCAGCCTCCCAGCTCTTGCGAATATTTAACATTTTCTCTTTGGTAGTTATAATCATGTTATAGTATCATGCTGTTGTGTGGTAATGTAATTACCACATTGTTGCCGGTGTCAACGGTCCAGCGCTTCTGTAAGATCCTGCTATAATATCAAGAAGCATCATTTCTTTTGCTGACTCACAGCAGCAATAATGTATTTATCACAACACAATTGTCATTATATTGAAGAAGATCATACACTGGTGAAGATTTATTCTTTTATCAAGATGCTACAGTTATAATTACAATGCTACAAAGCTGTGACTGATGTTACCAAGAATTGGGAGGTTTGTGTTAGTATAAAAACTTCAGTGCTCTGTATTGACATTTAGAAGAAATAGTGCAGTTGATAATGGACAGGAAGATTATAAGCAGTAATTTCTTTGTATATACAGCTGTAATTATTTTTAGTTAACTTTAAGTATTGTGATTAATTAATTGATTGTAGATATTAGATAAATGTCATTGTTATAATAAATAAATGTTTTATATGTTTCTTTTTTTAATATTTTAATTCATATTTCTTTATAAACGTACTTGAAAGAATTGAGCCATGAAAAATTCATTTTCATTCTAGTCTTAGATCACAAAATTAACTAGAAACATTCATGTGTCGGATGTCTATGGTACGTTAAGTTTAGACAGTACAGCTAATTAGAACATGACATTACTTTTTTTAAATATACAGGCACAATCACAGGAATAGTTAATAAGACAATAGAAATAAATTAGTGCTCGATTACTTCCAAAACCGATGTCGCCACATCTTAACACATACACATTAAGCGACCTGCCTGCAGCCGTATTATAAACATGCAATGCACAATTATATCTAATCATTACATTCTAATGTTTCCCAAACTCGGCACACCTAATAGTACTCGGGGACCAGTTCCAATTAGCGATTACCAAAGTATACCTTCAGGTCACTCCGTCAAGTCCGAAGGTAAGCATTCATCATACCTAACAAAACGAGCCCAAACTCTGCACACCTAGTAGTACTCGGCGACCTGTTCCAATGCCGATTACCAAAGTACACCTTAAGGTCACTCCGTCAAGTCCGGAGGTAAGGGCTCGTCATACCTAACAAAACGAGCCCAAACTCGGCACAGCTAGTTCTACTAGTCCAGGTGTTCCAGTATTAGTGACTGAAGTTCACTTTCAGGTCACTCCATCAAGTCCGGAGGTAAGGTCTTATCATAACTGACAAAACCATCCCAAAGTTCACAGCTAACTTCTCAGTGCCAGCAGAGGGCTCCCAGTGCAAAGCAATCTCTAGAGTAGTTATTCGTATTTCGTAACTAAGTCTAATTACTCTATGTATCTAAGTATATTTTTGAGGTGTAAGAAATCAAAAACAAATTCCATCTTTCAAATTATCTAAATAATTTTATTTGACTACGATTCCCGCAGCCAACCGTGCGTAGACTTGTGTGCGTGACTCAAGTCAATGTAATAGTTCGATTCTATACCTATATCAATTTTGTAAACGCGTCCTTAAAAAAATCTTAACGTAAATACTGCGGCAAAAAAGAGCGACGCGTGTCTACCGCACCAGGCCTCGGCCGGCAGGCCGGCAGTGACCTATACTCTGGCAGTGAATGCACAGGCGTTACGCAAATATCCGTACGTATTATTTCAGAAATAAGAATATGCGATTTAAAAAAAAAAAACTATTAGTTGGACTAAAAAATTAAAACACTATAACGTTAATATGTTGAATGTATAAAAATCTAACAAAAAATTAGAATGATTGCGTGTATACTAGTATGGTTTTTACTAGTTAAAAGAAATTTTTAGAGGTATGTTTGTCATTTTTTTCTATCGTATTAAATTAGTGGTATTATGTTTTCAACACACTATCTAACTAGCATATATCCTGGACAATATCATATATTTTTCTGGGTTTGTTTACTGCAGTGGATCATATACTTTGAGGATTATAAAACTTGCGTTTAGGGTCATGCCTCGTCTTAACTCAATTTTGACCACTGTGTGGATTGCGTCCTTTCTGATTAACTACATCTAAATATAACAGTATCGTTAGTCATTTTGCCAAACGTGGTAATTGCAATAAATGATCACTAGGATGACCACCGGTCTGGGTATTTAAAGTTTTGATTCTAAACGAATGAGTATTCAGTAGCCTCTATTATTTAATTTTATCCGTGACTTATCATTCGTTTATTTAGCAGTGAGGTGATGGCGCTATTATTAGATGAAATAATGAAAGCAAAAACTATGCTTTATAGTAATATCAGCGATAGAAGGTTGAGGTGCAACTGAAAGGCCACGAACATTTATTTATTATATAAATAAGGCATAAAGTAGCGTTGATTCTGCTAAAAACTCTGTTTGTGTTAAAAATACGCTATCAGCGCCGCTAGCGGTGAAAAACTACTTGACTATAAATGACCATAATATCATGAAATAGCAATGTTATTTAGTTATTTGAGTTTAAGATCGTCAAACCGTCTCTTTTCATTAATTCGGACAATTTTATTATGACAGTCAACAAACAGTGCTAAATTACTACTATTAGTACTATTACACGAAATTTGTTACTATAAGACATGATCACTCTACGATTTGGCCATTACATTACATAAAAATCTCTTTGGTCGAACTATAAGGATAATGAGAATTTTGCAATAATTGCAGGCAGATCAGTTTACATAATACACATTAGTAGGTAATCAAACTAAAAACCATATTGGTTGCGCGGAAACCCTTCGTATTTATTTTATTTGACGGTAGGTTGCCAAATCGGTTATCCCTTTCCAAAACGATATCATTCGTACCCTCCTATCTACACATCGGGGTGGTGGGGTGGGAGGGGAAAGAAGATGATTCTAGAACATCACGTAATCATCGGAACCGAGGATATATAAGACACGCGCGACCTACGCGTGGCCTCTTCCCGCCGCGCTCGTTGTTGGAAACACATCACTAGTAGAAACCGCTTTAGCCTGGAAGCAGTCGAGCTCCAGGAAACCCGCCTCACCTCGTGTGAGATATAGTCGCGCACCGCCTCTCCCCAGAGTGTCTGTCCAGAGGAGGTTCCAGAAGCCGCAGTTATAGTGTTCGACCGCACAGAAGAAACATCCCGGTGAGTCAACATTTTCCCTAATAGTATTTTCCTGCTTGATATAGTAGTTTTAACCCGCTCCAATTTTGTGTTTTCCTAATCAAGCAGGATTCCTTTCATCGATTTGGCATAATAGTTCGTTTTTTTGGGAAGAGCGAGTGCATTGTACCGCATATACAAGTGTAGAAGCATTATTAGATACAGTCCACTTAGATTAATAATTCGCACAATAGGTTTAAGGTTCGACCGGGGAACTAGACTTCGGCAGCCTTAAACACGTGGCTCCACCATTTTATGGTCACTTCGGGCAGGATTTGGATTGGTGTTTGGTGGTCCTCCAACCATTTTCTGGTCGAATTATTAAATTAATTATTTAGATAATGCACTCTAATCTATGGAATAGACTTAAATAGTGTTCGTTTAAATTTAAATTTTGATTAGGTACTCGCAAACAGAATTATTTATTTTATAGCGCTCGTATTTGGTTAAATTTAAAGCTTATTAAATAATTGAAACAGTGTGATAGCAACCGTTTGGTACGATTACCCGACAATCTTTATAAAAACATTGAGTTAGCAAGCAACGTGTCGCCTCGACTGAAGTAGGTGTTCGATTTAATTACGTAATACGGCATACCGAGCGTCCATCGTCCATCGTTTATGCGTGTGAGATTAATTGTGATTAATAACTTTGTTATAATAATTTAAAATGGCAGTTAGTGGAAGTGAATTTAAAATTAAAACGCTTTATGCCAAGAGGGACGTACTTTTTTCACGTATTCAAAGCATTAGCGATGAATTGAAACGGTGGATTCTTTGCGGACGGATTACGAAAGAATATTAGACCAAATTAATCATTTGGAATTACAAATCGACCCGAAATACATAGTGAACTACCAACCGCTGCTGGCATTCGAAGATATGTTGTGTCGCGTGAAAAGAACGGCAAAACTCCTACAATCTCAAAACGAAGCAAAGCCGGAATTGCAGGTACGTCCTTGTGACTCAATTAGGTTGCCGCCAATAGATATTCCGGTATTCAATGGTGATATTAAGACGTGGCCCTTCTTCTTCAGTAGTTTTCAAAACAATATACACAATAACCCATCGTTATCGGACGCTGAAAAATTATATTACTTAATTAGTAAACGTACTTAAGTAGTAAATTAGTAAACGGGAGGGTAGGCGGCGTGAGTGAACAAGTTAATTAAAGCCCTCTATAAATTTTATCTAAATAAAAATAGTTAAAGTAAATTATCAGCCATATATTTAGTTTAATTAGTTAAAGTGAAATGTAAATTACAAGTGAAAGTGTAATCCAAACAAAAATAATATAATAATAACAGCTAAAAGAACAATAAACAATAAGTGATAAAGTGCCTTGAACATCAAATCGAGATAAGAATTATTAAAGGGTGTTTAACTCTAAAAGTGCTTAAAAGCTATGTAAATCCCTACGGACAACAGTTTATAGCGAATAAAATAATTTTCCAGTGCGTAAAAACTTAAAAAATCTTTTTGAAAAGTGTGTGAAAAATATAAATCGTTACAAAATTCAAAAACCGCTCAACTCATTCTTATAGGAAAAATATTGTACGACATCTATCGACGAATTGCTAAACTAGTACAGTTGATCGATATTGTAATACTAATATAGTACTTAAATTAGCTGAAAGAGGGCATTGAATAACATTACTATACAGAAAGATAATAAAGACTTGTAAAGACTGAAATGGAGAACCAGAATGTTACCTTTCGTTCTCAAAAGACCAAAAAATTAAATGAATCACTAAACATGTCATTTATATCGACCAACTCGGATTATCTGGCTAGAAGCTTACCAGATTTATCCACTGCACAGTTATATAACGAGGATTGTGAGTGCTACAAAGAGCAAATATTACAA